GCCATCTCGTTCATGCATAAACAAAGAGTACCCGCGTATTTTAAGCTCAAACGCATGTTTCTTTCTGCACCCGGTCCCCAGAAAAAAATTAGGAGACCTTAGAACTTGAACGCACCTCGTACAATAGGCGTTGCAAATACGAACGAGCAAGCGAGGGTGGAGAGGTAGTAGTCGATGGTCCCTTCTTTTCTTTTAGCTCGCCAGACCATCTGCTTTTCATAAGCCAGGCTCTTTTCTTTTCGCTTTCTAAACGGCAAAACATAATCGCCGGAGGCAAGTGGGAATTTTACAGCCCTGTTTCAGTGTTATCGTGTCAAAAATCGGAGAACGATCATCATCGTTTGAATGATGGTGAGCGGTCGCCGATCACCACTCATTCACAGCACCACGATCCATTGAATATGTGTGAGCCTCTTACCCGATGCGAGAGGAACCCGGTGAGGGAATTCGGGAAGAGTCGATGGAGAGCCTTGAACGACGATCGAAGGATGCCGAAGATCCTCGCGAAGACGAGTCGCAATCTTCCATAGGATGCAATATATTGGTTGAGGTTCAAACGCCCGGGATCCACGGTGATGGCCAGACCGACCAAGTAACCTCCTCGTCCGTTTCCGCGGATGTTGTCGGGCATCCCTGGCAGAGTGGCAAACACCTCCGCCTTTCCTTTCTTCGGACCCGCCAGGTGATACCTGGAAAACCATTGTTGTACCGCATTTACAGATCTCTTGCCTACAGCAGTGATATGACCCGCGACTCGCGGAGACCCATTTTGCGGCCCCTTGGATGCCTCCGGTCTCTAAAAATCCATATTTACGTGCGACCTATTTCGGCTTATGTTCGAGGGCGGCCCTCGAACATGAGCCTAAATCTCAATTTGGCCCTTTATGGAGAAAAGGTTGTGCACCACTGATCTACAGAATCGTCGTTGGGAGAATGAGAAAGCCTTTTCTGAGAAGCCAGTGCTGAAGTGACGAAGGAAAGATGCTTTGGAGCGAGTTCAGTCCAGTGACTCCCGGTACGAATAGGAAGGCATAAATAACATTACATGTTTTGGCCTACATTAGCAATGCAGCTTTATATATGTATTAATAAATATTTTCAATATTTCACAATTTCCACAATATTACCAAATGAAAACTCCGCATGGAAATATGGATGAGTCCTCTCGCGACGAGTCACATGCGAAAACTAAAACCAGCGCGCAATCTAGCCCTTTCTCTCCTCTTTTCTCCTCACATAAACAGCCTATTTCGCCATGTTTGGCTGGGGGAACCCGTTAAAAATAAAAATAAGAAATACCTAGTGACTTACTTGAGTATTCTGGACCGGACGGTCTCGCATAGGAGGAGGTAAGACCCATCCGGAGAGATTTGAACCCCATTGGGAAAATGGAGATGATCGAGGAGGACACTCGTTTTCCCATCCGCTATTCTCGTTTTCATCAGTCTAAAAGCAAGGAAAGGTCAATCGTTACAGCATCTTAAAGGAGAACAAAAAACAGGTATAATACGTCGTGGAGATACTGGAAGAATTAACTTCTTTGGTTCAAAAGCTTCACGCTGTTAGTAAACACACGCTGTTTCGGGCAGCATGTGGTGTTTTCCTCTGAATTTTATGGATATTCTACACAGAAATGCGGAAAAACTTTCGGCGACGATGCCTGAAAAGCCCACTTTTGCAATCTTCCACGAAATATCATTAGACTATCTTTTTGCTGCGAACATCTGCAGAAGGTGGAAGGATGACCGAACCTTCCAGAGCCAGAGGAGAAGACCTCGAGGATCATGGCTTCGAGGCTTTCCAATCCGCTGGAATCCGACCAGTAAATATAGCCATCCGGCGAGATGTCCAGGTCGTTGAAGACTTTTCCTCCGATCTCGGGATCATCGGGCTTCACTACCGCCTTCAATTCCCCTAGAAACATACAAATAATTCAACAGATTATGAAAATAAATTCCGATAGTGCGGCTCAGATATCAACTCGGATATGGCATGCCGCACGCATCCATGCATACATGTTGCAATGAATGCAAGACCTTGGCGACCTTGGCATACATGCATTGTTGCGAGGAATCCAAAACCTGGCGACGCATTCAGGCTTGGCATCCAGTTCAAGCATTTCCCTTCCTTCACGCATCTCCCTTCCTGATTCATCAACTTGCAAACTATACTGCTATTTCTCATTTTGATTCAAAACAGATGAGTGATTCGCAGCTTCGAGAAATATTTCACGGTGATGATCTCAAATCTAGTCTTACAGTTGAAGTTTCCCCATACGAGTTCGTGCAGGTAATGAATATTTCGGCCGAGGAGTAAACCTTTGAGAACCCTAGACAAAGCTTGAGGATATTCCCATTGCTGCCTCAAAGTGAACCATACGTTCTGTTCATGCATCGAATACCTCCACGGATTCTGCTCATGGGTTCATGCTATGATATAATCACTTTTTGCACGAGCCTAATTCCAAGACTGGGACTGCATCGAGGACAGGGTGACATTTACGTACTAGTCGGATTCATGTGTGTGTTTTGTGTTTCGTGTGTGTTTCGCTGGTATCGTTTCACTTTCACCACTGGATGGAGATTCTTAGAGAAATAACGTGTTTATCTCGTCGATCGAAAAGAAGAGGGTTGGAGTTAGTTTTTCCAAAGTCAAAATGAGATATCTTTACATACGGGATTAAGAGTCGGATCGTTTCAAAGGTCTATTACGTTTTTCAAATGTTTTCACTTCGACGCTGCCCTTGGATTTTTGTCCTGGAGAAGGAAACGTAGAGTTGACCGTGGCTACATGACAGAGCGGCAATTTGCGTCTCCCCGTGCCCCAAGGTAACTTAAAAAAAAAGAAGAAATATATACTTTGATTGATTGGCAGCAGTGGTGTCAAATGTCAACATTCCTTTAGTGAAAAAGAAAAATGATTATGACAGAGGAGGGTTCTTGAAAAAAAACTTAGGTCTAAAATCAATGTGAGATTATTCGGGTCTGGCAAAAGATCAACTCTAAAAAAAATATATATATATATATATACTTAACCTTTTCAGACCTGAATTAAGGCCGCTATCGGAATAATATCCTTTTTTGCATTTTTGAGCTCTTTCGTGATTGTAATTGATATTTTAATGCTTTATATGTCATTTTCATATTTTGTATAAATTTACCGTATCATACCATATTTTATATATTATACATTTAATTAAATAACGGAATACTACAAAACTAATGGGTGAAAGAAGGTCTCTGATGGAACTGAGCCATGCATAATTGCGCCCATTAAAGCGTAATATGGAGCGCAAAGTCATGAGAATCCTTGGAAATTGCCATAGAGACAATGTAAATGCGATGTCCATTGGAATGGACGCCAGGTCTGAAAGGGTTAAGTAGATATGGGTCACCTTAAAAAAAAAAAGGTTTCGAATGAGCTAACGATGGTGAAAATCGGTTGAGAAAACTGGAAGGAGTTCTCTGGACGAACCCGGTCATGAGATATCTGCAGCTCGTTATAAAAGGTATTGATATAAGATTGCATTTAGCTTACATGGGATGCGTGAAAGTAATTTAGGAAAAAATATCGTGGAAAGAAATCGTTTTTTGTTCTTGCTAATGGACTCGATACGTTTATTTTTTCGTTCTCAGTAGAACCAACGAGATCGAGAACATTTTTCTGGTTTTATTTTTCCTTCCCCCTCTCCCCAAGACCACAGTTACGTATGACATCTCTGTTTTCGATCGGTCTTAGGGCCATCGAAGAGGACTCACCCGATTGAGGATGGACTCGGAGGATGCCCTTGTAGGCATCTGCGACGAAGATGGATCCATTGTAGTACCTCATGCCCAACGGTCGCCCGCAATTCTCCGCATCCCAGAGTCCATCTGTAAAACCCAAGAAACTCATCTCTTCTCTCTCTCTCTCTCTCTCTCTCTCTCTTGACTCTTGACTCTCTACATTGACAATGGACGTCTGCCCTTCTCCTGTCCCGTGAGGTCGCACAAGACAATCTGAATCTCCCGAGGAAAATTCCTTTAATAAAGGTTTTCGCTCGCTCATGCTGTTTTCCTTCTTTTCAACATAGGTTCTCATCTCGGAATTCGAAACTTAGGAAGCAGATGAAGATTTTAAGTAGACATTTCATCCCTCGCTTTTAATCGGGTGCGAAAGAGAATTATTAGTTTGTGGTTCCTCCGCTTATTCCACTGCCAGCATCTTGGATGGAGAATTCAAACCTGTTTTATTCGATCTGAGATCGCTCTTTTTTTTTCAATACCCAACAAATTCTTCAGATTCCACTCATCGGTTTAATTGATTTATTTCACGATTCCAAAAAAGGAATTCAGGTTTCCGGATTCCTTCAGAACTGAGTTTCGGAAATTTTTTTCTCTTCTCCCCTGATTCAGTTAAAACGAGTAACCGGTTTCCGATCGCTTTACAGATTCTGTCATATGCTGCTGCGTATCCCCCAGACATGGCCATCAAATGGTGTCAATGGCAGCCAACGAAATATCTGATAGAGCAGGGCTTCCCAACCCAGGGGTCGCGACCCCATTTGGGGTGGCCAAAATTTGAGGCCGTGAACCGGCAACTAAATGCCAAGATATGTTTTTCGTTGTGATTTTAGCGCATAGCCTGTCGAACTTCGGCCAGTGCTTGTGGTCCTGAATGGTATGATCGCGATTTTTGGGGTCGTACGAGAAAAGGTTGGGAAGCTCTGTAATAGAGGCTATCTTTAATTAATGAGATGAGAGATGAAGCTTGTAGTTTATAAATTTTCTCATGCAAAACGAAACTTTTCTCATGCAAAGCGACTAGGATATTTTTTTTTTTACTGGATGATGTACCCAAGCGGAACATTACACACGTCTGACAGGAAACCACAAACTTCATGAGAAAACTTCATGGCTGAAAGGGGTAATGCCTCGTCTTATTAACTGCTTCATCGGCCCGAATGCCGAAAATGACTCAGTCGCGGCGTTATTTTACCACCGCGGGAAAGAACCAAGGAAATGCTCCGATCTTGCTCTATGCCCTCATCATCTTTGCCACTTCGAACTCCGATCCCTCGTCACGAGGAAAGACGATACGCGAAAAGGAATCGAGGGATGAAAAGAGACCGCAAGAGGATCCGGTCCTGACGAGGGTTCGAATCCGTCCGTCTCGGATGTGGAGGATTTCCCCGCCCACGACTCCCGTGTAGAGATCGTCTTCCCCGATCCAGAGCAAGGATTCCGGACCGACCAGGTCCCCCTCGTGGAGGAGGCTCACTTCTCCCGTCCTGTCGCCTGCCGACACCTCCAAAGGCACCAGGTCGCTGTACGGGTATGCGAACAACGTGGGGATGAAAACGATCCCTGCCGAAAAAAGTTGGGGTCGGAAATGACACTCTAATTGGAAGCGGTATCTCGCGTGACTCCTTTTTCGAACTCGGTAACTCCGAAAGATATCTGCGACGGGTTACTCGAACCATCTTTCTTCCATTTTGTAAATCTCACGTAGCCCTCTTAATGGCCGAGGAGGAGGAAGGGTGAACGACCACCCGGCCGCGTTAGACGAAACAACGTCTCACACGCCTTGGGATACTACAGAACATGAAGAAAATAAGGAACAGAGAAGGTAATCTCGCATCGGTGAAATTAAGAGCAGCTTTGCACGATAGAGCGTGGAACGTTTCGCTTATCGGGCACTCATACGACCTTCGCCTCGATAACAGGGACGAGTGAATGAGAGGTAGAGGAGGCACGTGAGGACGGACAGCACGCGTACGAGCGTTAGCATTCGTGATTACGATGTAAAACGATACTTATATGGTAATGATTCATATGACTCGGTATTAATTCCACTGTGTAAATGAGAAACCGCAAACCTTGCGGCGGAGACGGTATTCAGGTGCTCTTCTCATTTCAACGATGAGCGAGAGGTCTCTGCAACGGAGAAAAACTTACGAATGCGAATGAATGCCTAGATCTCTAGTTCTCGAACGATCCCAACATTTAGGGTCAATGAAGATTTTCAAGTCGAGTCACAAAATTCAGGATGCTTCAAAATGCAGAAAGGAGGACACTCCTAGTTTCTTCCTCTCTCAAGCAAATTTCCAAATTTGAAGCTCCATCTCCTCGGGGTTGTGGAGAACACTGAATCTCGCTTTTTGAAGATGAAAATTTCATTCTTTTTTTTTCTCTCCCCCCTCACGGGGAGCCACTCCAGGAGAGTTTTCGGAGGAAAGAGACCAATCATAACAAAGAAATGAACTTGTAGACGACGAAAAATGCCTTTTCCGTTCTTTGCGATGCACCATATCGCCATTCAAAAATATGAAATTAGCTGTCATTGATGTAGATTTCGCGTGCGAGCTCCGATCCCTTCCCCAGAGATGCCGGATATCGTGCAGGGGTTATGTCTCATTCATGACTGCTTCGGCCTTCGTATCGGCGTCTGGATCTTGTTTTTAATGTATGGGGCTCTTTTGAGCCGAATTCATGAGATGAGATGAGAATGAAACCGTAGTTAGCAGTGGCCGATCGATGCAGTGGGATATGGAGATACCTCATCCGGACATCCATGAATTAACAGGATGGCGCGCACCTATGGATTCCATGCATCTTGGAGGTATTCTCTCCTCGAACCCAATCGGGATGGTTTGAGAAACTTCAGATGGGCTTAACGTTCCACATCCGCACTGAAATGGTATACGAAACTCGGAACAGGCCTCAAACCGGTCTAACGTTACACGTCCTCAACGAGATGTCACCAAGACTACGGATCGACCCTTATAGACCTAATTGGCCTCCAAAGTCGAGGATTTAGTTTATTTCGAAAGAAGAAAGGTAGGCCTTGGTATGATCTGAAGTCGGTTAGGCCTGGGCCTAACGTTTGTGAGTCCCATAGAGAAAGGCCGGGAGATTGAAGAAAGGGAAATTCTTTGAATTGGTAATTGTGTCTTTCACATTGCTTCATAAAGCTATACAGTACTGAACAAATTATTAGAAATCTCTAAGCGAAACCACCGATTTTTGAAAAACCCTCACTGTGGGGTATCCGGGCGGGTGATATGGATGAAACTTCAGCCTAGTATCCAATAAATATCCAGTTCCGTTCTTGTTTCTATGTTGTTGGACAAAAGTTTGTAATGTATCAGAAATTTTGAATTTACCGATGGGTAAAACGAGCGATTTGAGTCCTCGTAAAAGAGGACAAATTCAGGTTTTACTCGAAAACAGTGAATTGAGCCAGTGTGAAATAGCAAAAAAAAACTGAAAGTGTCAACAGCATCTGTGTGCAGAATAAAAAAACTCTTGAGTACTGGCAGTGATCTGGCAGTGAAGCGCCAAGGAAAATGTGGCCGAAAGAGAAAAACTACTCCATGGATGGACCGCAAGATTGTGCACCTCAGTCAGTCAGATAGAAGGGCTTCATGCAGGAAAATTGCATCTGTTTTGCAAGAGGAAGGTATAAAGGTGAATGAATCGTATGACAGTTAATCGAAGACTGATGGAAGCTGGACTTTATGCCTACCGACCTAGGAAGAAACCTCTATTGACAGACAAAATGAAGAAATGTCGTTTGGATTGGGCGCTTGCTCACAAAGACTGGAATGCTGATGACTGGTCAAAAGTTATATTTTCTGATGAGTCAACTATTCAAGTATTAGATGACAGAGTTCAGACAGTTCGTAGAAGACANAACAAAACCAAGCTCATAGAACGTTTGGTAGAGGTTTGGTTTAGATCAGATGAAATCCGGAATTTCTGTTCAACCCTCATTAGAGGCATGCCAGAGAGAGTGGAGGCCCTGATCAAGGCCAAGGGTGGTCATACTAAATACTGAATGGACTTAGGAGGTGTAATCTACAGTTTTCTAATACTTACTATATGTAAATGATATTATTATGGTTTGCAAAGTATGAATAAATGAATTTCCTTGAAATTTCTAATAATTTGTTCAGTACTGTAGAATGATGTAACCCACTCTGACCTGGGAGTGTAGGGACCGAAGAAGGAAGAAGAAGGCGGTAGAAGATCGGAGAGAAGGAAGGCCAGGAGAAGGAAGAGGAAGGAGGCGGACGCGAGGGGAGACATGGTGAATGTGGATGTCCTCGGCCTTGAACCTCCGTATCCAGTCTCCGCTGCACGAGACGCTCCGGCCCAGACTGGCGGGAGCACGGGGGGGAGGATTCCTTTAAAATTCTTCTCGTGCCCCCTCCATACCGCGATTCCCTCTTCCCATTTAGCCGGTTGGACCGTGCTCAAACCCTGCCCGCCTCTTTCCATTATTCGAGTCTTCTGAGACGGAACAGCCGGATTTTATCAGTAGACAAGCTCTGCAAGAAAAGAAATGTTGCATTCATAGATGTGTTATTTTCAGCAGTATCCTTCGAAACACTTCCTAACCTCAGGCCGTGCATGTGTGACTTCCTAATTGAACGACGAATATGCATTCTTTTCACAATGTTAAGAAGTGTTTTGGTTTCGTTCATGAATATAGTTCAATTAGGGCAGTTAGGATGACGGTTGTTCGTAGCAATATATCCTAGCCAGCGAAAAGAGAAACCCGTCGACCAGACGACATCTGTGGACTGATCATCTGCTTAAAGAAAGTTTTTCACGAAATAGATCAGACATACGTTAACAGTGTTACCCGTAAGGACAATGCTACGAACCTCTACGAACAGATCACCCGTCACTGATATATACCACTTTCGCTTGGAATTGTAAGAAGTTGACCGAAACAGGTGTATTTCCGAACCATTCCGAGTTTCGGACTCCTTTCGTTCTCTGTTCTCGATCCCAAATAGGTTTATTTCCCCATTTCCGCTGGTGTCTGCTTCGCGCAGGTCAATTTCATGACGGATCGTCCTTTGCCTCTCATCTTTCGAAGCTTTCTCGAGGACTCACGTGTGTTTTTTTCTATTTCACCTCTTTAAAAGGGACATTCAATTACATTTCCCAGTAGACGACAGTTATAAACTTAACCGAAAGGGTTAAGACCCTCTCTTTCTTTTGTCAGCGCCTCGCATGACGATGCCCTTCGGCCCGAAAGCAGTCTTCCATAACAAGAGCCATCTCATCCGCTGCCTTCGTCGATTGGACTCGACGGAAGGCACCTCGAAGCTCGACGCACAGAAGAGCGCAGTCAAGGTCCATCTCTCATCGATCCGTGCGGATGACACCCGTTCGGGAACCCCCTCGGGCCACCCCTTGAGGCGCACCTCGAGGCACCCTTGTTCTCCGACCACGGGAGGGAAGGACGTGCGAACGGCTCCATGCTTCGACGAGCCTCAGGTATCACTTTAACGGAAGCGACACCCTCGTGATCCGTCCAACGTCTCCAGCTTTTAAGACTATTTTTTTTATGTGCCGAAAACGAGAGAAGTGATTTAATTCCAAGTGATTCAATGCTGTCATCGAGTTCTTAACGTTAATTCCGCGAGCAAAGTGTCGCTCGTGTGATCATAATAAAAGATACTGTCTTCTAAAATCCCTTGAACACGTCTCACCCATTTCTTTTACTTAGTCGATATTTCCAGTACGTTTTAACCAAAAAGGGAAGGTCTATTGTCATTAATCTGTGAGGGATTCTTGAAAGGAGAGTTCCACAGATATCCACACAAATTCCTTCATCGGTATGTGTAAGAAGAGCGAATACTGCTCTAAAGAGATTCCTTGAACTTCCAACGACTGGCCCTTGCAACCCTGCTGTCATAAATTTTACATGCTAAATTGTAAAATTCCTTCCCCCCCCCCTTCCCCCCTCCTCATAATGAGAAAGAGCCTCTGCTTAACTCTAGACGATTCATCTTGTAAGGAGAAAGATCTGCCGTTGCAAATCTCGGCGTTTGAGATCGGAGGTGTTGCAAAAGAAACTCAAGTTTTATTGTTGAGCCGGCCTAAGAGAAAATCCAACTCCTGAGCCTCGAGCGGTCGAATGCCAAATGCGAGTTTCGGGGGAATCTCATCTCCAATGGGAAATCGATTTAAAGAATTGAAGGATCCTATCAGCTGATGAGAGACGACGTGTCGTCCATCGAGACTCTCCATCTCGCACGACCGCCGTTTCCTATCAAATACTTTTTTCGGCTTTCGACGCCGCTGAATCCCGCAGCTATCAACGTTTTCTGGGTTCTGGCGAGATTACGTTGAAAAAAAAAATGAAAAAAGCCGTACAGTGGCTGTTCCCCGCACTGCGTATTTTGAAGAACTCGGAACTCCCTTATCTCATTACTCGAGGGCGTGGGTACAGAGTGCTTGGATATATCCCTTCGGCTTCTATATTTGCAACGAGTACCTCATGCATTCAGATCGATGCGTCGGCCGCTAGGGCGGGGGGGGGGGGGGGGGGGCCTTTCCCACGAGACTGCAAGCTCTGACGAGATACGAGACGAATCTTCTTGCTAATTTCCAATCTCCTTCGCCCTTTGATCTATCTCGTATTTCCTGCCTCTCGCGTGGAAGCGGTTCGTATGGAATATAAATTGAAAGAGGGGAAAACACGGCGGAATCGTCTGCGCTGACCTCGAAATCAAATTTCATATTTCGAACGGGTGTTCTTTCATGAACCGAAAAATGCGATCCTTTTTTCAGTTATGATCAGTCCGAGAGAAGAAATGGATGAGTAAGCCTCTTGACTCGAGGTGAAATTCTCAACTTTACATGGATGCAGACGGATCACCATGCGAGAAATAGGAAATAAATTCACGGGGCGGCACTTCTAGGAAGCGTAGATGATTTCCAGAAAATCGAGATCAAATCGGTCAGTACGAATGGAAGCAAGAGCTATTTTTGCATATGTAAAAGGGGCGAGTGGGAGACGAGTCCGTTCGGTTTCGTGCACGAGAAACTTGTTACTCGGGTTCTAAACGACCGATATCGCTAAATCTTGAATGAAATCACCCGCTTGTGTTGGATCCTGCGAATTTCGCGCCTGTATCTTGTATTAGACTCATTCTGCAGCCTTCAGGTTCTTTACTTTTGTTCTTATCATTCTCTTACCCCTTAGTTCCACCTGGTCCTTGCGATGGAGTCTCGGAAAGACCTCACCTTTCGGCACGGAAAGACTAGGAAAGGCCTCACCCTTCGGCACGGAGAGATTCGGCTCTACCCCTCGCGGAACACGGGAACTCGGTGGACTGCGAAGCAGACTCGAGCTGGGGAGGACACGCGAAAGGACACGGCTCGTTCTTGCCAGGTCAGCCGTGAGCCTTCTCATCGCGTCCGCGTCGAGTTCCGATCGCGGAATTCCCTGCGTCGAACCCGTAATTTGGCTCATCACGGATGATATGCGATCGCGTCGAGTCATCGTTCCGGGAGAGCGAGATCAGTTCGGCACGAGTCTTCGAGAATGCCAAAAGGCGGCACGAAAACAAACGACGGCGCGAATTCCGCTCGAAATTCGACACTCGATGGACACAGAATTGTAAATAAAGAGACTAACCTCGAATCTAGGTCCACAGATCGCGCATGGATGATTGCATGACTGGGGATCCTCGAGCAACCTTCAGGGAAATTATCATCCGTTTCGACGCAACGAACACTTCGCTCTTCTGAGTTCCTCGCATTCCGATGTATTTAAACAGTGTTTTCGTGAAATACGCGCCTCGATGGGGGAAACAGACGGAAAATCACATCGAAGCACGTCAAGCGATTTATTTCCCGTTAAGTACCGGGAAAAGGTTTTTTTTTTTTGCACTGCTCGGTGCAAAAGCAATAGTTGGAACTCGCGTGACCGTGATTCATTCTTCCGTCACCTTTCCAGGTGTTTGCGCTTCGATTTAACGGTACGAAAGACGCGGTCATCAGACATACGGTCCAGGGAGTCGCGTGTGCATGCACTGGGTCTCATGGGGATTCACGGGGTCTCCGGACTCGGCGGCCCAGCCCATCACCCGAATGTAGTGCCGTTGGGTGAGTCCTCATTTATGGGAAGCGAAAAATCCTCTCGGGTTTCGATTCTGTTCTGCGCTTTTGCGAGTGCGTATTAAACGGTATTGTCATGTAGGAAGGATGGGACGTGGACGGGACGCACCATCTGATGAGCCGTGGCTCAAGTTCAAATGCTTTTTCATTCGAGCAGATGGAACTGCCGCCGGTCGATGAAGGGGACGGAAATTTGGTTCACGGACTCATGCAGGCGGCAACGCCGTAGCCTGTCGACCCCACTGACGTCGTGAGATGAGCCACGTTACAAATTGTGCTGTCGTTGGCATTCGCTTCGTAATTTTCGACTTCAATTAGCCTCCGAATTTCGAAAATCTGAGGTTCAGCATTGATGACTGGGTTTTGAGCTGCAATGCCGAATATTTACTCGAACGATTGCAATACACCTGTCACTGCATGGCAGAGGTCCATCACCCATAATGTTCTTTTCGCGAGGAGTTTACACACCCTTTTAATGCAAGCAATTGTTTTATATGGGCCTACGGACAATAGCAGAACTAACGTTTCTTTTGGTCATACGTATGACACGAATTGGTATTCGGTAAGTGTCCGTAGAGTCTAAAGCACAGCAGCGTCAGTGTCGTTTTAAATGTGTGTGAACTTATTGCGGTCGCGATAAGTTAAGTGCTTTTGAACGCACTTTAACCGTTATCAAGGAGTGAACAGCACAGTACAAGCAAGGACTAACAACCTTATAGTTGGTGGCCTAAGTTCAAATGTAGAGAATGGGAGAAATATGATAGCCATTGCGGAAAAAAGCGCATACTGGAATTGCATGAACTGTTTTAGGATAAAACACAAATGACATTATGTAGGATTAACTTATGCATGCATATAGGAGCAAATCTGCCCTCATCAAAACCTTGTATGTTAAACCTTTGCCAAACATCAGATTCAGGGTTCATCATTGGGACTTAGGCCTCAACTAAGCCATTTAGACTAGAGCAGCTTGGGCTACTATGATTCCTTGGGCCTGAAGTATTTATAGCTTCAAAACTTCAATGGATGGATCATGTTAACCTTATTTGTAAAACCCTGGATATTGTCTTAGCCTGAGTAGTTTCTTCTCTCCTGTCAAGATGAAACTGGTGCTCACTCTAGGTATAACCAGTTTTTTTTCAGCAAAACCAGAACATCTGCAAATTGACCTTGAAGGTCTCTTTGCAGGCTGAAACACCAGGGCAATAAAAGGTCAAACAAATAGGGAAAATGTATCCCTCTGTTGCTCAAAAATTATTCAGTCAAAGGAGTAAGAAAAACTAGGACATCTGATCACCCTAATCAAATATACTCATATTCAGTTCAAACATTCACATGGTGTTCTAATATGAGGACTAATCATAGTTAGAAAATAGTCACATACATTTATGTTACAAAAGTACACAAGGAATGTTATTGCCTTTTCAAAAATTCCTATTTCCTATTCTTCCTTCGTCATTCAAAAATATTGACTTCTTCATCCTTAGTTCTTTAGCATGTATCCAATTATGTTCATCACTATAAAATGACCAGAAAAGCACAGTAATTGGTACCAAATCATGATGTTCTCAGTCTGCATTTCTCATCATTTCCATAACACTAGCCAGGCTTCATCATGGTGAACACAGGAGTTGTGCAAAATCATTTATGTGGATACTGCCATGAGGGCTAGATCATAGACTGGTAAGAGATGGTCAGCAAGAGTAGGCCAGGTAATGCTGGGAGAAGAATTAATATTACAGAGATTCAAGGACACCTGAAGCATGTTGTTACAGATTATAGGTTCCTGTAACTGTAGGTATATACATCAACTGCTCATTTAAAAGAAATTATGTGAAGTGCAAGTCACTGAGGAGTTTGATCATAATGCAAGAAACTAAATCTTGCCTTAAGTTCCAGCTCTCTTTTCCTCCTATGAGCATTCCTTTTCTTGCTATCAATTACATTTTTAGTGAGCATCATTTCCTGAGAGGGAGACCATCCATATTCCTGTTCTATCTGTCTGTTAGTCTCACTTTTTGGGTTGTCATGATGTGAAAATCGATTTAAAGATATAGGGTAAACACCCCAGTTTTTGGCCACACTGATACGACTCCCATAGGAAGTGGACACCCTGTGCACATACTGGGAAACACTAATAATTGGTCCTCATACAGGAAGATGTCAATAGAATGCTTGAAAGCAGCCAGATTAACTCATTATGCTGGATTTAAGCCTCACTGGCCAAAAACTGGAGACCAGCCAGGAACCAGGGTGCTTACCCTTACCCTATATGGACAAGTTATAGACTGATTTCATTTTTTTCCCTAGTCATGGAAAAAATGGAATTTATATCATGAATTTTGAATTTAAAATTTTCCCAATATTGGAAAGGCATGAACGACTGTCACCTTACCTTGGCCTGAAGATAGATATTTGTTGCTTAGGGTTTCAAAGTTTCTTGTCACCAACCAGAGCTGCCAATACACTTCCAGACTTTGTAGGTGATAGAGCCATTGTCAACAAGGGAGTTACTGTCTCTCTCAGCATTAAATGATAACATAGACAGTTAAATATAGTTAGATAAACTTGTACAATATTATATCTGTCATTGCCATGCATCATAGTCTTCTCCAGCATTCCAACCTCAATATGATTCTCTTTTTCCCAACAACCTTTAAAAAGTGGTCCACTTCTATCTGGGCTAGCTTAACTTGTCTGTTCCTTTGGTCCCAAGTTAAGTTGAATGTAAAGTTTGGATATACCTGCATTCCAATTTTTCATTTTGAACATAAGCAAATCATGCAAGAGTGTAACATAGGAAGGAAAAGAATGCTTCAGGTCTGTGTTTGTCATACCTACACCAAGTAATAATTATGATTATTATGGTAATATTAATAGTGAATATTTGGTGCTTTCTGCTGTTTCATTCTGGCTTGAATATGTATTCTTTTTCCATACATCATTTGGATTTTCCCTAGGCACATTCAAGAGATGAAGACTTATATTTTGTTTTTTAAAAGTAACTTTGTGTGAGATGTGTCACACAATTCTGTCACAGAATACCCAGGGTGCCTTTTTCACTGAACTTTTCAAAAGTTCCTGGACAAGACTGAGTCAGGAATTCTTTGAAGAAAATTATGGAGAAGATTTTGGTTCTGAAAATACATGGGTGCATCTCCGTTACCTGCTAGAGAGCCTCAGCAAGAGTGTGAGTTGACCCTTTTTAGTCTGATGCATGTGCACCCTATTGTAGTTCTTCCAAGTGTATATAGGCCATTTTAAATATCAGCATAGGCCTATATTCCCTAATTTTTAAATCTTATTATGATCTCATTGATCTCATTCTTTTAAGTATATGCTTTTTTTCTGCTGATATCTGAGCATCATCATACCACCTGTCCTGCTTTCTTTACCTCTGGCTTTCTTCCACTCAATCTCATCCTTTCATGTTTCTCCCCCCCCCCCCCTCCATCTTTTCCTTTTTTTTCTTAAGGTTTTACTTCATAGTGGTGTAGTCTTTCAATTGGCATGAATATTTTCTTTGCTGATAAAATGAATATCAATTAGAAGCTCACTCTCTTTCTCCCACTCTGAACCCTCACTCATGTCTTTCTTTATTTTGGACTTTTTCTCAGGCTATAAACAGGCTAGGGAATAATGGAATCTTAACACCTGGTTCAAGAAAAAGTCTTAAAATCACTCATCATCATGCTTTAGAACATAGGTGTTTCAGAAATCAGAATTCTTTTATTCCCAAGTCTGATGTCTATTTGAGAAGAAGCTTATCAATAGATAAGATTTTTTAATTAATTCATCCATGATTATAGGCACAATCATAATATTTTATTCATTACAACTGCTCCTTCTATCTTTTCTTCATGAAATTTATTGAATGTCCTAATAGAACATTATATAGTCTTATATTTGGTTGTTGTATCTGGTGTCAGTCTGAATTGGTGGTGGACGAATGTGTTAATTGGTCAGTATTCAATGTAAAGTAAATGAGCTTAATGGTTCTGAGTGTAAGCCAAGAGAGAGGTCCCTTGCTAAAATAATTAGACTGTCATCTTGGGGTGTGATCACAGTCTGACAGTAGAATATGAAATACACCAGCAAGTCACCCTAATTAGTGCTTGGTTACCCGAACCTATTTAGGTTACTTAATCATGTTTTTCTGTTTTGCTTACTATAAGACATTGTAGGTCTAGTGAATTTTCAATGGTCATAATGGTCATGGGGAAAGAGAGGAACATACCAAAGGTAGAAAGAACACCAGGGAAGAGCTAGGAATTGAATCTAGGCATCATCATTGCCAGTCAGGTATGCTACCAATGTACCATTTAACCTGGAACATTCAGTTGTACCTCTTCATTCCTTCACATGTGCTACCATTACAGTAGGCCATAACAAATATTAAAGGTAAACAAATTAGTAAGTCATTGGTTGTACCATGCTAACCCTGCACCCTTTTCCTAATGTTTGTTAATCTACCAAAAAAGTTGCTGTAACTTTTTGAGCAAATGTGACCAAAGAAAGTATTTGTCTATATCAGGAAATATTTTGTAGGAGCTGGCATATCCAAAATGGGCTGTTGTACAAATAGGTTGTTAATCTAATTAACATCTAATCAGAAGCATATTGGTTTGCATCATTGGGCCATGTTCAATGCATAACCCCTTCCTAGAATCCACAACACAAATCCAAAATGCATTTTATGAAGTTTATTTGTGTGCTTAGGGCCTATTTGGAAAATTTAAGGACTGAGAATCAGGATTTCCTGGAGAGCAGGCTAGCAGTTTCCTCAGTTATGGTTTATACCAAGTATGACCTATATGCTTCATCCCCAGCTACCCTGTGTTGATATGCTTCTGACATATTTTCTTTTGTTGGAACATAAGGACCCACTCATCAGATAGAGAATCTATTCTTTTTTATTTCAGGATAAGGATGAAAAGACTGTTCCCTTTTCAGGAACAGATTTTTAGAATCAGAAATTCCAATTTATAACTAAATATCACCCTCCATTTCTCTCAAATCACTATAACTACCCTCCCTTTCATCAAAATTTATATTGCCACTCTCAATTGCAACCTTGCTATGGAAACTCTGGCTTGTTAGTGGCCATTCTATCTTGAGGGAAAATAAGGATGTGATTTTGTGGTTTCCCTTGACAGAACCTGGACAGATCCTATTTCCAAACAGAGAATGTCTTTGACTGTTTCCGTGATGCATTGGCAGCTGTGTGGAATTACCGAATCCATGGCACAGATGTCAACAAGAAGGAGATGATGGACAATGTCTTTTCCCTGGTTTCCCTTCTTTTGTCTCACCTGAGTGGCAACTCACCAAGTGGTCAGGAACTGGCCTCTACCTCCTCATGCATGGAATACCTCATCCTTGAATACAATGACATCTCTAATGCAGTAAGGGGTGCCATTCATTTCAGTGGTCCTCAAAGCTATAACTAGAGTGGGGAGAAGGTGTTACAAACCGCCCAAAACCAGGATCTTTTGTTTGTTTTTTTTGCACCATATTTTTAAATTCTTTTTAGATATCCCCAAGAATTTGGATTTTTCCTCTTAAGGCATCACATTTAATATTTAAAATTAAACTTACTATTCAAGCTTCATCTAATTGGGAGTTAATTTTGTCATTTTACCTTGAATAGGTAATTCATATTTGCAATAGGATTTAGCAAAAATTCGTTATTTTCATTAGTAATTTGATTATAGTATTGCATCTGATTTTTGGGTGTTTTTTCTTCAAGGAGTCTCATATATTTTGAACAGGGTTTTTTATGGTGCTGCTCTTGTATGATTTAATAGGTTTTATCCAAAAAAAAAATGAAGCATATGCTTTGGTTGATTCCTTCATTCATTAGTTATGTAAGACTCTGTTTAATGCTTGAGAGGGCTCCTAATTTTGTTAAATTTGTATGCATTGCATAGTCTTGTCTCTATAACTTGAAGTTTTATTCAAACTAGGAAATAATAATCCCTTCTGTTCCAGGTGACAAATGCTCATGTTCAAAAGAGGCTCTTTGCTGTTACAGCTGCTTTAGTCAGTCTGCTCTCAAACCCAAGGAATCCAAGAAACCAAGGAAAGTGTGATAGCATTATCAGTAAGACCCTTCTACATTCACCTCATCATATGCTAGTCTTTTACAGAGATGTGACATTTAGAGATCTCTTGATAGAGGTACTCACCATCACAAAAAAAAAATTAATGACCAACCTTGAATTAAGGAGATTGTCTGTACTTAGGATATGACTTTCAAAATTGCTATGATTTCATGGGTTTTAATGTGTTTGTGAGTGTGATTTAGATGAAGATGACTTATCATCAGAAACACAGGAATTCTTCTTTAGGATTTTCTGTTCTGTCAGCATGTGAGACCTCCAAGAGGCATTAAGCCGAGTCCATTGATGCCTGATTTTTTCAAATTGGTTAGATTAGTTAGATTGGTTCTAGACCTGACTGTATGCATGGTTGCCAGAAGAACAAGAGGAAAAAGAAAAGATGATCCCCATTGTGTGCTTTTATATTACCAGAATTGCTTCACCAAGGCATGAAACTAGGAGAACTTGATGAATAGAGGAGCATGCTGACTTAAGTGCTAATATGTGAGTGTGAATCCTAACTTGACTAAAATTTCAGTTGTAGTTATCAGCCAATGGTTTTTGCCAACCCAAGTTTGTTTTAAAATAAGAAAGTCTTGGAAAACAAGTTTTATAGATCCTTTTTGTGCTGTTTCCTGGTTTATCCTCACCATTAAAAAAATGAAGTGAGCTTCAAAACACAGGAGCTAGCTCCTTGGTAATGATAAAATGGTTCAACTGTGGATGTCTATCAGAAAGCCTCTATGGATGGCCCTCTTTACCTCTGTATTGCCACTTTTCCTTTTTTATTTTTCCATGCTTTTTTTTTATTTTTTGTTTCTTCTTCTTTCTGCATCTTTTTTTTTATTTTAGCCTTTTGTTTGTCTATCCCATATATGTATTGATGCTTTTCACCTTAATTTTATATTATAGTTATTTTATATTATTTTTCTTCATTATTCTTTGCACTTATTATTTATATCCATTTATTGTTCTTCTTTGTTCCTTTTCTTTTTGCTTTCTTTTCATTTACCTTGTCATGAATAGTCTTTTTAAAACTAATTTTATTTTTTTTTGTTTACTACTTCATACCAAATAAAGCATTTGCTTCACTTTCAGTTCATTGTACTCATATGAGGGCAGTAGTTTCATTTTGTTGTCCAAGTGCAAACATCCTCTTTTTACAAAGGAATGCCTCAGATATGCACTCTTTTGACCACACCAGTGATTCCTCTATTATCAGTGGTAGTATCAGTTTGAAATCTGCAGAATTAAAACCTCTGGAGTGTTTATGAATTGTAGTACAAAGAACACAATGGGACAAGCATTTTATCCAGGATGAGATTTTTACGCTTGGGTTAAAGTACTTAATATACAAAGTGTGATCAAAAAAGTTCAGAGACATAATTTTTTATGGCACTGTGGTGACTCTTCTTGGCTGCTGATGCCTACATTCTTCAAAGTATTCCTCTTCAGCATCTACACAAATTTTCCAGTGTTTCTTCAGCTGCTGGAAGCATTGCTGGCACTCACCTTTTGGACTCACAGCAGTGCTTACGTCATGGTTACAATTTTGCTTTGAATGCCTGAAATCTCCTTGTACAATCCAGTACAATGGATGTTAGTTTGAAAAGAAAGCCCTTTCCAAGAGCACATTAATATGAGGTATGACTTTAGTCCGCAAACCATTTTAACATTCCCTCGTATGTTATAATTTACTCAAAAAGATTATACTCTGTGCCCTGAACTCTAAAGAACATAAGAAGAAGTGAAGGAAGGGAGAGAAGAAAAAAAAATTATCTGGAAATAGGCATAATTATTGACTTCTGTGTCAAAAGATAATTTCTTGATTTAAGGATCAGTCAGACGTCTTGTGTCCTGTGAGGAGTGGCTTTATGCAGTGAGGAGAGAAATCTACAACTCAGCTGTGGACCTCATTCCACAGCTATTCCATTTCACCCTCTTTCTACTATATGCCCTCCTTGATGACTGCCCACCAAATCAAGTCCTCTTTGCCCAATCATGTTCTGGATATCACTGCTTACTCAGGTATGTTTTTGTGGGATATGACTGTTCACACAGATTGAGTTTTGCTGCTTTATTGTCTTGAGGCAGTGGGGTAGTGAAATTGGCAATTCCCATATGATTCTGTAAGTTTCATATGGTATATTGAGTTTTCAAGCAGGTGCTCTTTTTGGATGTATAAATGGCATCCATAGCAGTCCATAGGCATTCAAGATACTTGACATATAACATTATTTTTTCCTGTATTTATGTATATCAATACTCTGCAGTGTGATTCTAGTGTTGGGTTGAGGCTTTCAGTTTCAGTTTTTAAAGCTGATTTGGCTTCAGTTTAAATTCAAATTTCAGCTAATAAATTTTTATTTTAATTTTAGTGATGAGGAAACTTTGTATTCGTTTTTGTTGTTATATAGTTTATTTTTTCCAAAACTAATTTATACTTAACATTTGGTGATTTCAATAATTCTAACATCTCATTGACTTCAAAACTTTGAACTGCAAATGAATTGCAAAATTATATAGCTCAAGTGTCCATGCAGTTTGGAGCCAATTACATTACACTTATATTTTCATTGGAAAAAAATAGTTGCACAGAGAAACAGGAATTATTTTACCTTCTCATTTGCAATTGTTTGTGATACCAGTAATATTCCATTAATGTGATACTTTCATCTGGACCAGGATGATGAAGACATTCTTACATCGAGAGGAGATGGCTGACTGGGCAAGGGAGAGCCTACACTTGGTCCTGCGACTCTTCCTCATGCTTCTTGAAAAGGACATCCCCCTTCATACACCCCATTTGGGGCTTGAGATCACTGCATCATTGCGAGATCTCATCATCCCCTGCTCCTACACACGGCCAACCATCCCATATCTTGTGTGCTCCTCTGCCTTTTGTTCTATTATTTCTTTTTAAGTATCTCTTTTAATACACTTCTGGCTAGGAGGAGGAAAAATGTCAAAGTTAAGCCTGCAATTTCTTGACTATTGTGTATTGTTGGCCCTATTTCCTTTATGGAGCAGTACAAGGGAATATGATATCTTATTCAAAAGTTGTCAAAGGCATTAAGGAATGGGGAGACTTTTTCCTAGCCAGTAAATATTGGTTATAAGAGGCCCTGCATGTTTTCTTGAACTGACTTAAGAAGTGACCATTGATCACCATGGGAAAGTGGGATATAAACACAAGGTAAGGTGAATGTGAAGTTAATATTAACAAATATCTGATTGTAGAATTGTTTATGCTATTACTGATTTTCTAATGCTACTCTTCATGAATAATAGGTTCCATTTGATCCAGTCTGATATATGTTCAAAAGTTCCCTTTTCTGTTCCAAAATCCAGATGATCACATGTAAACTACATTGAATATTGGTTGAAGTCAGTATACAGGGTGCTGGAAATCCTTATTCCCCCCTTACGGTAGCAAAACTCAGGTGATGGAATTCAGGCTTCAGGGTGTTCATAAAAGATGAAGCAATTACAAAAATTTGCTACTTTAAAAAATTGAGTCATTTTAAAATTTTCAGTCTTTGTTTCATTGTCTGACTACATTGAAAGAGGAAAGTCAACAGACTGTCGTAGTGCATCAGATCCAGATTATTCCAATTGTTTGTACTTCCTTGCAATGGCATTTAAGTCATCGTATGTTGCATCTGTGTGTAGTAAGCTTCATATCATTGAATGAGCAAGTAATTTGTGCACATGGTCATGTGCAAGTGGCCTAACAGAGAAAGTGTCAGATAAGTCCAGAGTCAAATGACTAAACCAAAGCTATATGGAAAATGAGAACCCATCTTTGTGACTACAATGTGCCTACTGTTATTTCCTTTCAGTTTTTGCTCTCTTCAAGATGGAGTATGGGCTCCCCTTGCTTAGAAATGACATCCCAGTTTGCTTATATTAAAAAATTTCAAAATCTGGTACACTTCATTTATACTTGCGTACTGCTGGAGAATAGAGTAAGTGCTGTGCTCTGAGGCTATGACAGATGTTTTTCTCTGTTAACCTAATACCAATTGTTCACATGTAGATCATATATAGGTTTGAGCCCTCCTTGTCCTTATTTTTGGACTCTGTCTAGTATTATGTTTATATTCTAGTATTAGCCAATACAAACAAAAACTATTTTATGCATGGTAAAAGTAACAAATGAGCAAACCATGTAATATGCTGACTGACTGTAGCTGACTTTGCCTCACCACTCATGGTACCGATAGACCTAGGAAACCTACAAAAGTCTGGGAAGTAGAAATAGGATTAAAAAGTTAGGGACAATGTTTTGGCCTGATTTCCTTATTTGAAGGAATACATTTAAAAAATTTCATCAACCATTGCTGTGAAACAAGTGGTGAATAAAGTTGACAATAGAACTGGGTTGGTAGAGATCATGCATGAAAATGCAAGTTTTTTTCAGAAAACAATTGCCAAAATTAGCTGGAAAGTCTGGAAAAGATAGAGAAATTTATTTGCAAATTCTTCTTGGAATCCGTAGTGCTTTGACCACTTCTGATTTCTTATTTTCTTCTCCTTTAATATTGAAGAAGGAAATGTGTTATGGTTCACTTTCATTGCCAGCAAACTGTTTCCCTGGGAATTCATTGCATGTGGGAATTGGGGAAGAGGAACCGGGATTATGTCCTCTTGAAGGTCATTCCTCCATTGCTTATCAAGCTCTACAAGTTCCCTCTCTGTCAACCCCTGAAGCCAACTCTGAAGCTCATATTCAACATCCATAAAGGAAGGAAGATAGGTATGTTTGCATTCTTCTAGTTGTCTTCGTTTCTGAATAGAATCATGAAGGAAGTTGCCATTGATGAAGTCCATGTGCAAGAAATTTCCTTTCAGGCATTAATCACTTATACAGACTGGACAGAAAATTCAATCCTCAACGTGTGAAAATCAGAATTGGAGCATTATCATGTGTCTTTGAAAATGCAAATTTATATTCAAAATTTTATTTGGAACCCCTGATATAGGAAGAGAAGAAGCATCACAGTCTCGGGATGCCCTGGCAGAGACAGGTCCACCACTGACTTGGCCGCAGCCCCCTCCTGCTGACTTTCTCCATCTCCCTCTTAGTCACAGGTCAGAGATATGCCCATTTTGTCATGATTCAATGCAAGTACTGCTTCTGTAGAGGAATGTTTTCCCAATCAAACAAATATATTGCTGCATTAGCACCTTTTTATTATTATTGGTGTTTGTGCGAGAGCCTAGCTTTATATGTATGCATAGCACCTCACTTTTCTGGTAGTGCTCAGTTACTGTGCATGCAAATATTCCCTCTGGAGAAAAAAAGCTACTGGACGATTTACAATTATTTTTACAATACTGCCACTGTTATTACATCCTGAAAGGTGCTTGTTACTATATAACGACTAAGGTCTCCCCTTAGAAACCTAGCTAGTGCAAATACATGGTTTGACAGTCATTAATGGATGACTTTAAAAATGTAGAAGCTTATGGAATCTGGTTATTGGTCCAAGAAATTCTGTGCAGAGCAGGTGACATTGAATATTGAATAGAAATTCGACATGATTTGACTCTCAAAGATAAAATTGAACAGATAGACTTTTCTCCTTTTGCCACCAAATCTCAATAAGCAATCAGATATTTGTTTTACAGGTTATGTAAAGAGAAGAAATTGAACAGATGATCAAGCAGAATACAAGAAATACAGGGTAGCTACAAAATCACTGAAGGGGGAAATTGGGTTAGAAAAACAGGAGGTAGAGGAGGAGTTGACTATTAGGGATAAGTTTTATGCCTTCGTGGACAAAGCAAAAAAAAGCAATCAGTGTAGCTGTAAGTGACTAGGCAGCAAGTGGTTAAGCTCCCACAAAAATATGAACCTTTAAGAGTGGGGTAGGCCTATGATGCATGAGTGCTTTACCTTGACACAGGACATCATAATGGGCAAAAGCATCTCTTGATATCCCTATCTGAACCTTGAATCACTCTGCCATCCTTTAAAGGATTAGAATTTGAATTGAAATCTTCAAAGTGTGCCAGTCATACATTAACCCAGCTCCTGATCCTTTTGTGCTTCTCTTTTACTTGCAGTTCTCAAGAGGGCTTTGTGGTGCTGCAATCTGATTCCTCATCAGAGGAGATTGACCTTCCTAGTTGGAGTGGGTTGGTGAAATCAAACAATGCACAGACAGACAATGAGGATGTGGAAGATGGTACGAGTCAAGAAGAAATGTGTCATGAAGATGCAAGTCAAGAAATTTGTTTGAATTGGACTGAGCACAAAAGTGAAGGTGCACTGAGTCAGAACCACAAAAGGAGTCCAGGAAAAGACAGGAGTCAAGAAGGAGGAAGGAGTGAAGATGAGCTGTCTCGAGAAGCCAAGAGGCACAAAGATGAACGAAGTCAAAAACATTTAATGAGTAAGAAACCTAGGAGTCAAGAAGGTGCACTGAGTCACAAACACAAAGCGAGTCAAGAAGACAAGCCAAGTGAAGATGTGGCATACAGAGTCATGCAATGGAAGGAAGGGGAGTGCTCAATCAGGACATCCATCTTTGTGCAGCATTCCATGACATCTGATTCAGATGCCATGGAATGCTACCCAGATGAGGTGTCTAGGAGAGAACCCATGGAAGAAAGCGAGAACTTTGATCCAGAAATGTTGCCACTTGCATCCTTGTCAGCTGAGGTGCCATCAGTGTCACTTGAACTCCCGAGTGCTTTACCTTCGAGCGAGTCAAACCCAGTCTCCCGAGAGGGAGAGAGTGCAAGTGCAAGAATGGACAAAGTCAAAGAGTCATCTGCATCTTCATCCATCTCCTCTTCTGTTCTTGTTGACCATCTCAAACAAGCCATTGCTATTTACTCAAAGAAGCCCAGCGAAGAAGAGCCAATGAAGTTCTCCCCACAACCCAGCGAGGAGGACCCTGTCATTGCCAATGTGCCAAATCCAGAAACCCAGTCAACCCCTGTTTCATCCTCAATTTTCACACTTGATCTGGCCTCATCCCCTGATACCTGCCCACAAAACCCTTCTACTCACTAATGAGGGTTCCTTTCCTTCACCACCCACAGACTATTTTGGCTCCCATCCTTCAGCACACTTGAATGTTTTCATCTGGTTCATGTCTCACATTCTGCTTTCTGTTGATTGGCTGCATTGAGTTCTTTCCAATAATCTGCATTGTTAGGCTTCAGAATTAGGACATTTGCATTACATAAACCAGAAAGCCATTTCTGTTTTTCTCCTTTCTTCTTGCTTCTACTTATCTTTTGGGTTCCTTATTCATTTTGTTCTGATGCCATTTACTTCTTATTCGATGCTTCATTCTGCTTCAGATTGAGGACACTTGCAGTGCATGACTTAAAGCCAGAGGCTATTCCTTTATTTTTCCCCACAATTCCATGTGCTGGGAACTTCTTATGCCTTCTTTTTTTTTTGCTCTCCCTCTAACACCGGTTGAAAATTGTCATTTGAGTATTTTTCAATAATCCTGATTTATTTATGCTCTTCCTTTTCTACATACCAACTCCTGTTAATGAGAGAACATTGGTATGTTGCTTTCAGAGAAGATTTGAATTCCTTGTTTGTATGTGATCCCTACATGTGATTGACAAAAAGTAATGTGGAAGTTTCAGCAATCATCCCTGTTATTTATTTTTTTGCCTGTGATCTCTAGGGTGTGCAAAGAACATGACACCATGTGAGAAATTATTGCAGAGAGATATTCATGTGATGCACCCTAAGTGTCAATATGTTGGAGGGAAATCTCAAATAAAGTTACATCCTGAAAATTAGTGTATTGTATGAGGGACAGGCGACACGAAAGGGACATATTACACATAGTGTATTGTATGAGGGACACGAAATCCTCGCTACGCCACTGGGGACAGGAAAGGATTACTTCCTCTTCCCCTCCTGCAGCCCAACAGTGCCCTACAATGCTCCCTCTCCAAGGTGTTCTTTCTCCCCTGAAAACGCCCATGGATGTCGACAGGCGTCCCTCCGAGTCTTTTCTTTTAAAGGCACATTGCAAATAAAACACAATTTACAATATTTTTGATTCAACGAAAATGAGGGGAGAGGTGTTGATAGTCACGTCGTTGCAACTTTTCCAGCTCTCCTTGTTCGAATTCGACTAACCTGACAACAGGAAAATAAAGTTCTGAATACGAGTGAAACTTCCTATTTTCTTCATTTTCTCTGATAAATTAATGATAAGATAAAAAGCAGGGTTCGGATGAGGTGACCCTTTTATGCGATTTCAAGATAACGTTTTTTGATGACTGAAGATACACGAAGCGCGCGTATTTCACTTAGGAAGAATCGCACCCACGAATTGGAAAATGAGGCTTTGGAACTAATCGGTTTTGCCTTTTCTGCGATGCAAGAAGAAAAAATCCTGCATTATGATGTGCAGTATTTTAAATAGTAAATTCACGTAGCAATTCCATATATATAGACCTAAATGATTCTTTAATTATTGTAATTAGATGACTTCATCCTCCTTATCTTACCCTTAATATTCTTAAGGACATTTTCCCGTGCAGGCTATGGAGAGAGAAGGGAAATGAGAGATTCCATCAACTCTTTGCACGCTATGCCGTCTCAGATGAAATCTCTCCTCTACACAGTGTGAAATGTGTTCCTGACCTTACATACATGGGGAACCTTGTGACATTCGCTAAGAAGAATGGTTCCTTCACGGGAGAAGGCATTCAAGAAAGGCAATCTCATGAATGCTTTACAAAATATACTAGACTGCCTGTTGCAGCCTTGCTTGCAAAATAATTTTTTACAGATTTTTTTCGATCGAGATGCACCTGGCTCTATACGGCCTACCATATCCTTGCGGACTTCGGTTCAAGGGAGTACATGGACCATTTGGACCCCGGTACCAAGGGAGGTACAGCCACCACCACAACTCAAGCACTACAGCTTCCCTCACTACTTTTAAGCTTGGACCTTCATGACCCAATAAGCCGGCATACCTTTCGGCTCCCTACCCGTTTCCTATACTTCTTCAGTCTATGTATGTCGGTATGTGAGGTTTCTTCGTAATGCTCGCCGCTGGCAGCGTTTGTGCGGGAAGGACGGGGTTTTCATTGATAAAGGGGTCGAGATCCCGATAAATATATGGGCGGAGATCTCATCTTGACGAGGAAGTCGTCCCTCCTCCAGGGATGAAAGGTAACTCCAAGTGTAATACGTGGAGACGTGTAAAACATTCCAGCGGAATATTCCATATCAGAGATGTGAAACCCCCCAGGTAGGAGGGTGGAGGAGGGGAAGAGGGTGCGTAGAATGGCTCTCTCCCGTTGTAGTGTCAGGGATGACATGGAAAGTACTACTGAAAGAGTTGGGTTCCATGGTATAGTGGTAACACGTTCGATCGGTAATCTGGAGGCGAAGGGTTCGATTCACGGCCTCTCCATTCGCTATTTTAGACCTCCTGTCATCCGAACTCTTCCCTCCTCAGGGCAAGGTACACGTATTACATACTCGAGGATAGTTCTGCCAGTCGCAACGGCCGGGAAAAAAGTGCGAGCCCGAGAAAGGGAGAGGTAAACCCGGGACAGGCACAAGGCGCCGCATGTGCGCAGTATCGGAGGCTTCATACGCACGCAGCTTCATTACGTTCTTAATATTGTCACGGAGGGGGAAAGTGGAGGCGGACGGCATGAGAGGCCGAAAGAAAGCCAAGGAACGGCCGGGAATCGAACCCGGGCCTCCTGATTGCCGATCAGGTGTGCTACCGCTACACCACCGAACCCAGGACATTCAGTCGTGCACCTCGAGATGCCATCCTCATCCGTTACAATATCTAGGATTTCAAGTATTGAAAGACGAAAAAACATTTATTCATGCTGGACAGGCAATATTGAACATGAGAAATATGCATGAGGCAAATGCGAATAAACCCGAGTTCGAATTTCCAAATCCTTTAGCACTACAAGCGAGATCCCGGGCAGATTTTAGCCAAGAGGAAGCGAGAGAAAGGCCAACCGAGCTTGATCTCGCGAAAATAAATGCTTTCCGGAAAGAAATCCGACCAGACAAAATATATAACTCTGCCTGCAGGAGTAACCGAATCATCCATATACGAAGAATAAAACAGAATCATTAATACATGAGAGGCTAAGCTGTCTGTGTTTTCAGTGTGTCATTCCGGAAAACACCTCCAAGACGGATGAACGGATTTTCATGAGTGAGATGTCAATCGAAACCTGGAGGCGATATTTGTTGGATCAAGAGTCCAAAAAGTTTTACCATTTTGACGCCTCAGGGCCAAATTTCTGCGATAAGAAAAGCATTGTACTGAATTCCTTCCCGGGCGATTCCCAACAATGAGAGCACGAGACATCGTCTGCTACGGACGTTGTTGCTATGGCAACTGCTGCAAATGATTTTCATGTGAGATGGTTTTTTCGTGTTACCAGTCCCGTCGCCGGTTTTACACAGTCACGTAAGTCAGCTTGTGCTCTATATTAATATATTGAATTTTGCTGTTCTCAAAATGCCCCGACAGAGACGGGAAAGCTTAAACTATTGCGTGATCTACTGAACGTAAAAGAGAGAGAAAGAAAAAGACAGACGTCCAGGAATCACAGTCGGCCGATGAGAGGAGACGAGCCGGAAGGCGTGCACGAAATGCCTTTCATTCGGCTTATTTCACGCCATCCATTCACTCTTTGCGTGCGTAAGCGGCAAGAACCGACGATCTCTCGTGCTCGGTAAAGCTGCTTAATTATCTCCCATGATCTGGACAGATATGTAAACAAGACATGAAAATGGATTAGAACCAGATCATGGTTGTCGAAGCAAGGAGAAGAAATGAATTCCTCATTCCCTGTTCAAAGCCTTGTTTCACTAAAATCCAAGACAATGTATTGAAAAATATGGGAAAAGAGGAACCTGCTGAAGCCTCCCAAAACGGAAGTCTGACTTAACAAGATTTGCGGAAGATCATTTCGATGGGGAAGTCGTCATTGTAATTATACACACTCTCAACGATACGGGCAGTTTGAGAACTAATTGGCGCATTCACTGCGATTTTTATTTCCATCAATCACTTCCAGTGGCAATGAGTCATCCATACCTGACGCATGCACACAGGGTAAAGTCAGAAAGGAGACTGACCTGAAGCATGGATCCAGCAACCCTGACCTAAAACTCCCCCTGACCTAAAACATGGATCCAGCAACCTTGACTCCCCTTGACCCCTTCCACGCTGGAACACCAAATCGGGCGTCACCGTCCCGCAAGTGGCTCGTCATGGCCTTTTGTCAATCGGGTGATTCCATCTACTTTCCTTTGTAGAGATAACAACTACCCACGCGAACAGTGAATGAACTAAACAGTAGTCTATAATAATGACTGTTATATACCTTCACATGATTTTCTGATCCACTACTCCTTAATTTGTTTTTCTATGAATCCGACGCCTCGGGAACATGTCAGCCGAAGATGTAGAACAATGCACGATTTTTCCAGTATAACAATTCTTTAAAGTCACTCCCTATCCCTATCTGTATCGATACTTGTACGCAAAGTATCGATGTTTCGAGCTGCTCGACAGCAGCCAGACCATCAACACTAAAGTCTACGCTCAACTGCAGCGTCTCCAGGAAGCTCTGCTAGAGAAACGTCCAGCTCTGGTCGATCGAAAAGGCGTGATCCTGCTCCACGACAAAGCGAGACCCCACGTCGCGAAGATGAGCCCAGAAAAAAAATCCGAGAGCGAGGATGGGAAGTTCTCTCGCATCCACCGTACTCGCCATCCGACTACCATTTGTTCCGCTCTCTTCAAAACTGTCTGACTAAGAAACGCTACGAAGACTGCGGTGCACTCCATTCCAACCTCACAGCTTTTTTCACCTCAAAATTGTCAGACTTCTACAAGAGCAGGATCGATCAACTGCCAAAAAGATGGGCGATTGTTGTCGATAATACTGGTGATTTCATTATCGATTGATGTTTCGCCTCGTAAAATATATTTTTTTGTTGTTGAAGACAAACTCATGACACAAGACTCGACGAATTTA